CCTTCAATATTCTGATTGGTACTCAAATGGGAAAAGTGCTGTCAGAGATTAAAATTACAGGTTTTGTAGAGAATTCAATTCTCTATCGATTGACTGTAAAATGAGAACTTGAAACTTCATAGAAGGGGGTTAATAAACAAGAACAAAAGTGGCCGATTTTATCTGGACCACCCGTTAGAAACTTAGTTTCAAATTTTTTTATTTTAGCATTTCCAAAAAGAGAATTTAATTTTGAACAGGTCTATATGATTAGTGAATTGTACCTTGAGAATTCTTCAGGGATAGCCGTTTGTTGAACATTTGTTTGTATTTTTGCGGATGACTTTTTACTTTTAGGAGCGTTGCAGTAGAAACAGTGAATATGTGTTGATGTTTTAAATATTAGTCCGGAGAAAATTTTTTGTTCGACAATTCAACTTGACAGTAAGTGAGTAAGTATACCCAGATACTTTTCGGTGTAGGGTGAGATAGCTTGACAGTCTTGTAGAATAAAAAATTCTCCATCCAATGAGCTTGGTGCAGAGTTTCCAGATTATAGGGAACTTTCCAAAAAAAGGCAATGAATGTGGCCAGTTCATTACGGTCTATTCGTTATATGTATTCGTTACTTTAACAAGTTTTCATGAAATACATCCTTGATAATAGTCGTTTAAAGTTGTAGTTTATTATATTAGTATCATACTCTCCATCGAATTATAAATAGGAATAGAACATTACATCTAAAAACGAAAAATTCTTGAAAGAAAGTAGACTACTAAACAACATTAAAGGAAAGGCAGCAGCTTCCGAAACAGCATACAGAATAAACTTCGACAGGATATGTAATTTGCAGCATAACTGCATAATGGACAATATTCCTTTTCTTGGTCATGACCATCTTACTTCGAAAAAGCTAGTTTGGTGTCTTCAATTTCATTTCTTCTTCTGTTTTGCTGCTATGTATCTATATCAGTAACACCGAAGCATAACTAAATATTATTATTGTCATTTTTCTTTCGGACTTTACTCATAGTTGCTTTCTTTGATGAACTCGATAATTTTTAGAAAGTGGACAGTTCAGGCGAAGGTTCAGAAGGAGACGCTAAGTATAATAATTTTTATTCGTTGTTCGGATCTATTGAGTTGTAATTTCTTTAGTAGAAAATCTATGAGTTTTCTGGCATGATTCTAGACTTAGACATGTCCTACTAGAATACTACTAGGATTTCGTTTTGACATGGTTTATGGGGTCCCCTCACGAAAAGCTTTTTTTCTTACATCCAATTTCAATGACTAATGCTTACTGACCTACTAGCTTATGCTAAGAATTCGAGATCGAAACGTTGAAGCGCTGAAGAGTTATTGCGTGATAAGGAGAAAAACGGGGCTCTTAGCAAAAGCGCTAAGGCTTTATGGTTGGAAGGTGCAGAAAGCTCCGAGAGGCCTCATATGAAAGTAGACATCTAAATCTAATATTTGATCCACAGCGATTTTGAAATTTCACTTCTGTTCATTCCCTACACGTGTTTTAAGTCAGACCTGTGAAAATAATCCTAATTCGGTAGAGTATTTGCCACTTATCTCTGTACAGAAAATAAAAATCAGAAATCGCCGCGGATTAAACTTTAGATAACTGCCTTAGCTTCAAAATAACAAAAGAATGAAGGTTTTACGACGAATCGTCTAGGAGCTAATACAACTTTACTGCGGCAAAATTATATTCTAAGCAATGAGGTCATCACTTCATTAATTATAGTTCAGCACCTTTAGCAAAACTAATATAACTCTGCAAGACAAAGTCATGCAAACCCGCTGGACATCTCATTCTGATCAAAACACTCTGCTCAACGTAGCTCCACATCTGTTAAAACGGACTACCTTCAAAATTTTAATTAAAACGTGAAATTTAGAAAAAGGTGCTTTTTAGGGCTTTCAAATATCTTTTTCAAAATCCTCCAAAAACTTTGAATTTTTAGCAAACTGAGATGGATTCTGAAAGATGACACTTTGGGATACTGAACCGTATGGTTAGTTCAGTTTCGAAGAAAACATTGAATTTCGAAGGGGGATCCCCTTAGGCTCCTTACAAATTCTACAAAGCTTAATAAAATTCTGATTCGTCATTTGTAATAAACTTCTTTCTCTCGAAGCATGAGTTGTCTGATATTTTGAACTCGTTATAATTTACCGTTGATTTAAGTTGGATTGCTTGGAATATCATATAAGATTTCATTTTTCATTAATTTTTTTGGTTTCTTTCACACTGGTGTAGTGGTCGTACAAAAAGCAAAAACATAACAGATAAATATAAAAACGTTTTGGTGCAGAAAGTATCTATTTTAAAGCGCATAAAGTTTTGAATAGGGAAAATGTGACAGAAAATAGCCACTTTTGAAAATATTCAGCAAATACTAAAGATTGGCGATAAATTTATATGAAGACTTTTATGATAAATACACCTCTGAATTACAGGATCAACACAGAATCTTTTTATGACTTTGTCAATACTGACGCTTAAGTCTATTTAAACAGTGTGAACATCGAGACTTAAATTGCATTCGCATTCTTAGTCGATATTGCCTCTCACCAACAATCTATCGTACCAGCTATATATATATGTCAAGAATTAGATGACGCAGTTTAACGCATGTTACACATCTAATTCAGTTTGAATCACAACAACAATTGACTTCATTGAATAAATTTCTTTTACAATTGTGTTTTGAATACAAAAAAGATCAAGTCTTGGAAATCTAAACAGATTCGTACTTTATGAGCAGTTCTCGAAACTTCTCTCTCAGCTATGTTGAGAACATATACGGCACCTATAGTATGGGATTCGATTCAAACAAAAACGATCTTTGTAAAATGCATAGTCAAATCTTAGAGAAGAACTAAAGAAAAATGAATAAAACAATGAATAGTTTCACTCAATCGTCTTAGAAAAATCAATGGGAAAAACGACAAATGATGTATTTCTAAATAGTGATCGATTTCTATGTGTCGGTGAATATCTTGTTTTTTAACGATTATCTTAACACCGAAATGTTGAGAAGTATAGAGGTAATGACACAATCATGTAAATCGAAAAGGAAAGTAAACATCTCATAATTGAAAACTTTCTTTCTCTTCACTCTATATATGTGTTGAAATGAAAAGCAAACAAAGTGAAAAAAGCATAGGTGATGTCGTGACTAAGGAATAAAAATCTGTTGTTTTTGTTCAAGAAATTTTAGAAATATTGTTAAAATAATGTCTCAGATTGTTAATACAGCTTTAACATGTCCAATAACAGGAGAGTTATTCCGCGATCCAGTTATGGCTGATGATGGACACACTTATGATCGAAAAGCAATTACTCGATGGTTAAGAGAAAATAAAACTAGTCCGATAACACGTGAACATATAGAATTAGCTACATTACGTACAAATTATACAGTTAAAAGATTAGTCGATAATTATAGAATTGAAAATAAATTACCATTACCAGTTGATGATGAAGAGGAAGAACGAATGTCAGTTAAATCTGTTGAATCGAGTATTAACAATTTCAGTCATTTCAGTGAAAATGAAGAAATAACAATAATTAACCGGAATTATTTTGATAATATGCAAGAAGATGTAGGTACTATAAAAGATACGGTACACATTTGGTCTTAGTGGTAAGATGTGTCATTCTGATGAAATTATCAACCATTTTGTGTAATAAAATATTTTTTATGAAAAACGACAAGATGAGTAAACCAATATAAAAGTTAGCTGAATTGATTTTGCAGAAAAAAATGAGAATGGTTTATACGTAGGGAAGTAACGGCATAATAGTTGCACAAGTCACACACGTACATGCTTGAAACTTGTTTAAACGACAGAAATTTATAAGATTCCAATGAAAATGCACAATGGAACCTGTATACAAAAAAATTGCATAAAAAACGCATAAAAAAGATCCTGGTCTTCTTTGTCGGCCTTCCCACTTCCATCTCGCCGTCTTTTGTATTGTTCACATTTTTGTATACGGTATCCGTTGAGCATTTTCATCCGTATATTTTCTGATTTTATTCTTGTTTAAATAACTTGAAGGAATCATTAAACATACAAGAACAATCCTTCTGATAACAAGCAGAAAAACACACATTTCACCTTTGCAGAAAACTGCAATAGTAAACTGTGCACCCTCTGCTTATACCTTATAGAATTGCACAACTTCAATCGTTCTGCACGATATAAGCAGAAAATGCACAGTTTACTTTTGCACTTTTTTGCAAAGGTGAAATGCGTGTTTTTCTGCTTGTTATTGGTAGAAGGATTGTGGTTGTATGCCTAATAAACTTACAAGGAATCCCTTCCAAGTGTCCAGTCGCTTTTTTCTTAAAGCAGCACGATTGTAGGTGAATTTTGATGCCGATCCCGAATCTGATATCAGTTTCCGCTTCTTGACCTTTTAGGAGTGGGTCTGTGAAATCCAGATGTCCAAAAAATCCGCCATGAACTTCTAGTTGAACATACTTTAGCACTGTCACATTGTAGAGCACGTTGAATTACCTATGTAGGAAAATCTTCAGAACCAAGGAACAAATTTTCCCAAGGAAAGAAGAATTTTACTTTCGAATCAAATAAACGATCAAAATATTTCAGGTTTTTGAATCCTAAAATTTTTCTATTTATGCGAAAACTTGTTCGTTGGTTCTGAAGATTTTCCTACATAGGTAATTCAACGTGCTCTACAATGTGACAGTGCTAAAGTATGTTCAACTAGAAGTTCATGGCGGATTTTTGGACATCTGGATTTCACAGACACGCCCAGATATACCTAGTAGCAGAAACGGATCCATCCCATAACAGAAGACCATCTGGTCTTCCATTTTGCCCGGTAAGTCGAGTTCTAAAGGGTGGTCTTGTATTACGGTCAGATTTTGTAGCCTTCTAGTAGTCCAACAGTAAGCCCTCACATACTTGAAGTCCATCTCTTATTAGAAGAACATTTTGGTGAAATTTTTTTGAAAATTTACGTGTTATTTTATTCTTATTATTCCTTACTGTATGTCTCTCGCCGATCACCACGCTGCGTTTCATCTGATTAAAATTTTTGTATATCGGATCCATTTTTACTGAGTTCTTTTCTACTTTTATCCTCGTTAAATAAACCGAAAAGATCTCTTCTCTTTTTAGAGGACAGGTGATTCAACGTTATTAGACATATTATCAGATGATATCAATACATTTGTGTTACATCCAGCTCCACTTGGTGATACTATTCGATGTCGAATTGTTCGTACTAAGAATAGTCCTTTTCAAAGGTTAGAATACTATATGCATGTTGAACGAAATAATGGAAGAAAAGTAAATAAGGATATGTGTGCCTTTTCAAAATTTGATAATAATATTCTTTCATCAAGATTTTTATTTTAACTGCTCGATGTCCACGTTTTCGAGTTAAGTATCAAATATCAACAAATAAAACCGATATTGGGAAATTAAAGTAACTTATTGTTTGTTCCCATTGTTGCTTATATACTCGCGTATCCATTTATTTATAGAAGTAACAATATAGGGGACACACATTTTACGTTGTCTGCATATGATCAAAAATTGGCTTCAATTGCTTATGTGAGTATTTTCTTTCGAGTTTTTTAGGTCGGGATACCTCTGAAAAATTCTTTTCAGCCAACTGCAGAAAGTCGTTTGTGACTGAATCTTAGTTTGGGCTTCTACTATTCTTTTAAGGAAACAAATATTTTTGGCTTTAACGGGCCACGAAAAATGACCGTCTCATTACAGACAGCGACGATTGTAAGTTAATTTAAAAAAAAAGTTGACTACTAACATTAAATATTTTCTGCGCATATAGGATCGTGAAGACGAGCATTGGTCAAACATTCTCCAATTACATAATAAAACACCAGTTTGGAATGAAGGTAATCATATAGAGAAAAAATTTGTTAGTGTAACATTTTAGTTTTTTCCTTCAGAAAGTGCATCACATGTCCTCAGATTTCATGGACGAGTTACGCAAGCATCAGTTAAAAATTTTCAACTTATTGGAAATGATTATCGTAAGTATACAAACTCGTAAACAGCTTTCATTTTGTCTTTTACATGTTCCTTCTAGCTGACCACATTTTCCTACAATTTGGTCGTGTTGGTTCACATACATTTACATGTGATTATAAATATCCATTGTGTGCATTACAAGCATTTGGCATAGCATTAAGCTCTTTGCATGATAAATTGGGTTGTGAATAACAAAAAATCAACTCTACCTAATAGTTTACTGTAATAAGTGTGCATGGTTGTTAACTTGTTTAATACTGGAAACGTTTTGAGTTGGTGATTAATCATAAGTTTTCCTATTTTTGTATATTTCTGAAAAACTTTTTGAAGAAAAAAACTGGAAAGACTTCCATTCTCACAGACAAATCAACATAGAAGACGACTTAATTCATCTTTACTATGGCTAACCTCAAGATCGAGAAGAGAAAATACTTCGTCAATGTCAGAATGGTTTTAAGTAAAGAATTAAAAAAAGAGGTTAACCATACTATTCTTTTATCAGATTTTGTATTGTGAAAAAAAAACACAATCTGATATTTGCCGAATATCGATGGAGAACGATGTGACGGTTTATTCAACACTTCATTGAAAGGAAATAAAATACCACTATAGCATAAAAAACACACAATTAGAGTATGGCACTCAACTTAAAAAGCTCCACATAAGAGCAATGATGGATGAATGAACCATCACCATCGCTAAACGTAATTGATATAAAACTTCAGATAAAAGTTAAAAAGGGAGACGCTGAAGAATCACGGCTGGAAATAATCTACCAGTTGGATAAAGTTGTCCTGTTCCATTTATCGTCCGCCCATTCATCCATGAATAGTGTCATAATATACAAAGAATGGGGACGACTGTTTGACGACACCTCTCTAACTCTAACTCTAAAGTTAATGGAACGATATCGGCTGACGCCGAACTTAGCAAGAACTTTAATTCAGAAGAAATCCTCACCCTCCATGTTGAGAGAAATAGAGAAGTCAAATTTTTAACATGTTCTCGACGATACTTGAAATATGTTTAGCAATAAGAAGAGTGATATATAAGGCCGAGGGTGGTCGATACCAGATCATAATTTCTCCATCAGAAAATTTCCACTTCATACGCATTCATATATTACCGATTTATCGAACAAAAATTTAACATATTTTTTGGAGGTAATAATCATGACTCTCATGCACAGACGGTGCAACATGTAGATGATAAACACAAAGAGATATTACAATAGAGTCTCATGCTCTATATCCCGATCGGGATGTATACCCTGTTTTGAATCCAAATGTGTCCCGATCAGAATATAGCCAAAAAACATATATCCCAATCGGGATATAAATTCGATTTTTTTAAGTAAAATTCATCAGCAGAAAAATGGTGATACTCGCAGAAAGTTTTGACCAAATCGCTTAATCTATCCGTTACAGTTTAAAAATATGCTTCCTTCTCAAATTTATAGTCCATTTTGCCACGAACATCAAATTCCGACGTCTATGACATGTAGGTAGGTAGAATTTTCTTTTCCTCGAAAACGATCTATCTTACTTTTCACTCTATATTAAATGCTTTTCCTAACCGAAATGGATACAAGAACAAATGTCAAAGTTTCACTGCTTTTGAGGCTGTAGTCAGGATACACACGCGGATTTCATTTGATAGCACATAGTTGCCAATAGCTATTTATTATCACCTCTTCACTGTGCGCTTTGCAAGTGAACGGTAAATGATGAGTCATGTTTGCGTACTTCATAGATTAGCCGAAAAGAGCGTAAAAAACTACATCAGATTCTTTTTTGGTTGAAACCAAGTCTTTTTCCGGTCATTAACCTTTTTTTAAATAATTCTCGTGGTTCATATCCCGATCAGATATTTTACTTTTTTTACTATCTATTTTAACACTTTCTCGAAGTATCTTGACATTTTCTCTTTCTCTGGATGCACGTAAGGCAGCTTTACTTTAACTGAAATGGTTCAGTTAAAGTCAGCTTAACCGTCCGTCGCGATTCATCGTCCGCGCAGCGAAGTAAACCATATTGTTTATAAGAAAAGATTTCCGGATGCTTTAATTACTTTCAAAAGTTTAAAGTTTTAAAAATACTGAAGCGTTTTCATCACTGAACTTCTGGCGGCTGATATGTTATGTTCTATATCATTGCACTACAAACGCTACATTAACTTTTGGCGGTTTTAAACTATTGTCCTACTGCAAGGAAACTATATCCCGATTGGGATATACAAAAAAGCAGATATCTTGATGGGGATATCGGAAAAAATGTATTCCGACCTGAGTATTATAGCCCAATTAAGATATATATATCCTGATTGGGATATGGTTTCTCACTGCATTAAATATGGTTATCAGTAATTAAGTAGCTAGACACTTAGAGGAAGATTGAAAACAACTTGAAGATCATTCCCATGGAGTAACCCAACATGGCGAACTCTCACATTAACCATGTGTGCTATGGCAATCACCCAAACCTTGCAATATCCAATAATAAATTCGTTGTAGATTCGACTTGCTTTTCGATCAGTCCAGGCATGATGGAATAAGGTTTTTCATTTTATTTTCTTAATATATAAGTCCGGAGAGGCTAAATTTTTGCAGAATGTGTGCGAGTAGATGCTCTACAAATCCTAAATATTTCATCAACTTCGGTCATTTGATCTGGAAGGTACAGCTCAAAATATAGGCTGTGACTAGAAATGGGCACTGGGCCCAACAAAATTTACTCTTCCCGGTAAAAGATTGGCGTGCCATTCCATTAACTTTAGTGGTAAATTAATATTTGATCACGCATTTGGTACAGAAATGTTTGCTCGTTCAGCCTATATATTTTAAAGTGCATCAAAGACCTTTGTTATCAATTAATTTAGCAAATATAAGGAACGGAACCAGATTGGTCCCGGCAATGTGGTCCCGGTCACTGTATTTGCTAAATTAATTGATAACAAAGGTCTTTGATACACTTTAAATCTCTTTTCTGGAAGTTCGTAGAGCCTCAATTCACGCTACGTTCGATTCCCCGTGAGCTCCTCTTCAACTTAAAAGAGAGCTTTTTTCGAAATTCCTTTTTCTCGCTGAGAAAAATCATGTTTTCTAAATCAGAGATCGAAAAGTCGGTAGCTTACCCGTAATTTCCAATTTTTTCATCAGAACTCAAGTTCTGAGCAATCAAAATATCATATTCAGGATCAGGATCAAAAACTGACTCGATTAGTATGTATGTCGTAATGTTTAGTTGATTTTCAATTTTGGGTGAAAATCTCGGTAATTTATCAACATAAAAACTTGAAAAAAAATCAAAGTAGTCGAATAGGACAGACATACACA